TAAGGAATATGCTTTATTTGCATATCAGGAATCATTTTGGCTTCATAAGCAAAAAATGTATATTCGAATTCCTCAACCTACTGTGGGTCCACTTTTTAGTTTTAGGAGTTGGCTTCAATAAACAATTCTGGGGCTTCCCTGGTGGCGCAGTGGTTGAGAGTCCGCCTACCGATGCAGGGGACACGGGTTCGTGCCCCGGTCCGGGAAGAACCCACATGCCGCGGAGCGGCTGGGCCCGTGAGCCATGGCCGCTGAGCCTGCGCTCCGCAACGGGAGAGGCCACAACAGTGAGAGGCCCGCGTACCGCAAAAAAAAAAACCAAAAAAAAACAATTCTGTGAGGTTTTTGTTTTTAACGAAATCTCAGTTACCTTGAAGAAATATCTCTATATATTTCATGATGGAAATGAAATATGTATAATTTATCATTATTGAATATATGTAATCATTATCAAATAAATATAATTATTATATATTTAGTAAGCACCCAATCCAAAAAGTCCTTCCTTTTAGGCCTTATGTCAAAGATCAAAAGAACAAGCATTAAATAAGAATGAAAAAAAAAAAGAATGGACTCCTACCCCAAGTCTACATTCCCCGTGATCAGGTCTGTCACTGGACAGTTCTGTGGTTAAGGACTCTGACTCAGGAGGCGGTTAACTAGGCTTCAGATCTCAACTCTTCCATCCACTAGCCCTGTGCACCAGGGAAAGTTACTTCTCTCTCTTTATTTGCCTCAGTTTCCTCATCTATGAAATGGGAAACATATAACTTACTTCAAAGAGCTGTTATGAGAATTAAATGAGTCAGTACATGTAAATCTCTTAGAAGAGTGTCTGACAAATAGCAATTGCTCAATTTATGTTACCTAGCACTATTAAAACTCTAAGAAATCCTTGTACATCAACTATACTTCAATAAATAAATTTTTTAAAAAAACTAAGAAATCCCTTGTTTTATACATCACAGGGGCTCATTAATGACTTACTGATTCTTTTTTTAATATTAAGCTGAAAAAACAACAGAAATGCATCTGTATCATGTACAAGTTTTCACACTTATGGATAAATTAGGGACAAAGTGAACTGTTCATCAAAATTGGATAATATGGTGGAAATAACAACTTCCCACTTATTCAGAGAGGAATTCATAGAGGAAGTGGAATTTTGTACTTTTTTTTTTTCTGATTAGAAAAAGAAGAAAATCCCACATAATCCCACTACCCACCCAGTTGATATTTTAATATATTTCCTTTGTTTTTTTCTAGGCATGTAAGTGAAATTTTATATAACTGAGACTGTATTTGGCACTCTGCTTGATTCACATAACATTGTATTAAATGCTTTTTTGTGTCACTTGTTAAAAACATCACTTTAAATGACTATATACACTTAATTATTCTAACACAAGTAAGAAAAACTGGTGACTAATAACACTTCCTCTTGAACTCATAATTTTTACATACTCATGACCCCAAAAATAACCAGCCAGAAAGGATTTTTGCTTATTTATTGTTCAGCATGTTTGTTCTTAAATAAAATTTTCTTGTCAAAAATAAATTTTAATATAAATTTTAAAATAAATTTTAAATAGGAAGCAGGAAAAGGATATCCATTTACAAATTAAGTCAAATGTACACAGTGAGGAATCACGTTGCCATCACTGCCACCTCCCAGAGTCCACCAACCATCTTGGTAAGTACAAATAGCTACTTAATCAGTGAGATAAAGAACTCTCTCGACAATGCAGAGAGGCCCATGACTATTACCAAAAGCATTATGGAGCAAAACTGAAAGGATGAAAAGGAAACAAGAAAGACGAATAAAGGGAATGAAGAGTTTAGTGGGGGAGGGTTACTGCAGAGCAGTTCCCTAGGTTAATACTCCTCTTCCAAAAGACTGGAAGACTACTTTTGATCCACATATATTGACTCACAGTTCAACATATAACATAAAACGTGCTTGTTGTTCATTAGACTTTAGGCTGCCTATTCCGGAAAAAGCCAAGAGCTTGCCATCTTTAGGCTTTTTGCATATGCAAAACAGCAGGTCAGATGAATCCTGCATCTCATATCCTTGAGAATCACAGAGAGTAAATGGTATGTGTTCTGGGATACGGAGGGTTTAGGTCAGTTAAAAACATAATGCCCATGATTTATGACATTATCTTGTGCCCTTATCCTCTCTTGGGTCCAAATATCTGGCTTCAAATAAAGAAGGTACTGTAAAATGGGGAGGGGGGGGCAGGATTGGCAACCCCTAAATTCCATTTTAGTGGAATTTCTATCATTCTTTATAAGCAAATATTCTTTCTTAATAAAATCTCTTCAGTTCACCTGGAGGAAATGCCATCTCAGAAAAAGAAACTGACTATCCTTTGCTCACGAGAACATGGGTATGCTGTCTCTCATTGGAACGTGAGTATCACTCCAAAATAATGACATTGCTAATCTGAATACTATTCCAATTCAATTACTGAAGCCCTTTTCTGGTCATGTCAAAATGAAAAATCACATTTCAAGAGTCTCAATTTGTAAAATAGGCTCACGAAACCAGCTCTCCCTGAAGTTTACTTTGGCCCAACTTTCCCAACACAGGAAGAAGAGGTTCGGAAACACTCAGTTTCTCTGCCACAAATGCATTTGCTAGCAGGTCACCCAATGACTTTCCCATCTTGGGGGAATTACCTAAACTAACAAACAAATAAAACCAAACCAAAACAAAAAACTAGACACATAAAACCTCAGGCCTCAGATATGCAGTCACATTTTGTTCTGCCTCCTTTTCTAGATTCCTCCCACTCTGCTGTTTCTCCAGCACATGAACGACCTGTCTTATCATGCATTCTGTTTCGTCTGTAATAAATATGCAGCAAAATGCACAAGTGCGATGATCTGAATGACAACAGAGATCTAATACATTCATTTCCAAATAAACAATTCCAAGTTTTTCCATTTACCCAAAACAGAGATCAGCAATCTAATTTAAAACAAAATAAACAAACTGTGATTTTCTTCCCCATCTGTAAAATTATAGTACAGGACCTAGCGATAAAACCCTTGTTTACCTACAAAATAAACTATATCATGATCTAGAGCACCTTCAGGATGTTGATTCAACTTTTAAAAAGTGTAATATTTAGTCATTTTTAACCGTGGTTTTCAAAAACTTTGGGGAAGCAAATATTCACTTTTGACTTTTTTCTTCTTTAATCCTCCACTGTAGACCATATTTCTTGCTAGTGGATCTCACCTTGGTGAGCAGAACTCTCAGTCCACACTACTGAATGGAACAGTGTGGCTCCCTCGTGCAAATTTCCTGAGAGCCCCTTCCCTGAGCATGTGCCAAGAATCAAATCTTGGCCACTTAGTGCTCTGTGCTCCACATGTGAGCTCACGGCGTGTTGAGCAGCCATGCTAACTGAGATGGATAGCCCTGTCAAACAGGAAGCTGGCACACCAGGATGCAAGCAGTGGGATACAATGACCTTTACATTCAGAGAAAAATATCCCTAAAATGGCATGAAAAGTTTACGGTGGGGGAAGGAGGGGGGATTCTTTTATTTCATTTAGGTACATAGCATGAAATAAAAGCAATGGTGCCCACTATGCAATTTGCTCGGGATCAAATCTTGAATCCCTCACACAAGAAGGAAAGTTGTCAGGGAAAGGAAATGAATCATCCTTTATCACACTGCTTTGAAAGCAGTGGACTCTACGATTCAGCTGTATGTATTACTGCACCCAGACAGGCCAAGTGCTGGGATTCAGACTGCACTTCAACTCACAATAATCCATGGCCCTGGAAAAACATTCTTGACCTCCTGGTTTCAGATGAGTTGCTTTCTTGGTAGAACTAAGATATAATTTGAATATTTAATTAAAACTTCTTTTAAACAGTAATAATCTGATTACAAAATCAGAGTCAAGAGCTGGGGAATTTTAATTCCATGTCCTTGGTCACCATATTTTGTAACTTTTTATAAACTGTTTAATCTCTCATAGCTTCCTTCTCTCAATAAATAGAGGTTTGGACTAATAGTTCTTAGTAAGTATATGAAGAGGAATTCATTTGAAAAAGTAGCAAAAATCCATGGCACATACACAAATGTTAAGTAAGGACAGTAATAAAGGAAATTAATATATGGAACAAGACCTGGAAGTCACTTGTTTCTATCCTTTAGTTCTAACCATTATCATAATCTATACAGTTCAATAATTTCAGCTAAAAAACAAAGATAATCATTCCCTTGGGTCAAAAATTTATTTTCCCATTCTCCAAGGTTTGGGGATTTTTTGCTATTTGTTTTGTCAATTATCTGGCATAAAAGAACAATGGGCAACACAAGCTCACAATGGATTCCCCAGTGCTATACAATTCACACTGAAATAATGATGCAATTTTAATATTTAATTATATTTAATTAAATAGGTAAAATGAATTGATCACAAAGACACTGAGCATTTTTTTTTTTTAATGAATGGACCACATCAGAACTACAGAGAGGTTTTCAAAGATACAAAAGTACAGTATATAAGAGGCATACATTTTTTTCTATTTAACTAAAAGCTGATCATAATGTGTAAAAGCAGCAGGCCCAAAGCAATAAATAAATTTAGAAAACTGAAAGCTTATAATTCACATATTAAAGTTTGGATAAGTTAGGAGTCAAATGTCTCAGCACTCTGAGAATACCGATTTGGGGACTTAGAGAAAATAAGAGAGTTATTAATGCAAAAAAACCCATGATGATCACTCTGAAATGCAAGTGATGGCTTGAAATGGGATTTTGGTGGCTCTAGAGGTACTGGTCAAATGTTTCCCAATGCAACCAGAAAACCAGACTCTCCATGAAACATCCTGCTGTTCACTGTTTGGGAAAGATGTTAGATGTAACCACTCTCCTCCGATCCCTGTTTGGAGAATTATTTCGGGGAACACACTCTTCCTCAAATCATGACACACCCGAGGCACGGGGAGGAGAGGGGAGACGCGAGAATACCTTGTGCCTGCGCCGCGGAGCTGTGGGAGTAGCCCAGGGCCAGGAGTGCGGTCTCCACCAGCTGGCTGAAAAGCACGTCCTTGCGAACCAGGACAAACTCTGCGTGTTCTTCCCTGTTGTCATATTCAAGAGAGCCGTCCAACTGCTCTACCACACAAAAGACCGGAATCATCAAACCTGCAGGGACAAAACCCAAGAACAAAACACAAACATTACAAAGCAAACCCCAGTCATCATGAGAAGGGAAGAGACAGTTATCATCTGTGGACAGTGGTTTGGATTAAACAAGCCTCTTAGTCAGATGCGCCTAATGGGAAAACTGTGGGGGTTTTTTCCCCTCCAGTATTACTATCAGACTGCAGCAGAATTGCCCCGAGCAGTGGCAGAAGCCCTCAGATTCTAGTCATTAAAAAGTGGAGCACACCAATCAGAGGTGTCCTGACTGAGAGACCTCAAGTTCACAGCCGGAGCATAGGTGAGATAAAAGTGACCTTCCAGACCCTAGCATCCTCGTATCTATGGTCCTATCATTAACTATTAATCAGGACTAGTATTTTCAGATAAGATCTGCTTTTGTCTAGAAATGTTGTAAGATACCTAGTAATGGTCCTAAGCTATTATGTGAATATGTACAAGAAAATCAATAGGAATTTAAAAGAAGCCCCTCTTGTATCTTTTATTTTTCTAAATCCTGGTAAACAGGCCATCAACTAACCTGAAAATACCCTGCTCAGGTAAGTCTTAACTGACATTTATGTCAAAATATACATACAAATATGAAACTTTGTCTTTTTAAAATATTATTACTTTATATAATAACACCAGTTATCACTGGAAAGGAATACCTCTGCTTGGTTTTCAAAGAAAAGAAGTAAACTACCCTAAAGAATAAAGCAAATTAGTGTAGTTGAAAATCTGTTGAAATCTGTTGTCACTGAAATATTTCTCTCCTTTGTATCAATATGTGAAAAGCTAAAAAATGTTTAATTCGCCAAAGGTGTTTTATAAAATGTTTTTTATTTTTTTTAAAAAGTCATACAGGTATTTAAATCTAAACGTAGCCATGGCAAAAGAAGATCAAAGTTTTACCAACATACGAGTAATAAACATGGACTCTGCCCTACATAATTCACACAAATTAGTATGTTACGGAGTAAGGATCTGCTCCAGGTCTTCTCTTCGTGCAAGAAAAATCAAAGGTTATGAAGGATGAGTGGGCAGGCAGAGAGATGGGGGAGGTGGAAGACGGGCTGTTCATGATGATGGCACTTCACAATAAAAATAAGACCTCTGTGTAAAATGACACATGCAAGTATGGCCTCTCACACACAGAATGCAGAGGAGTTTCTCTAGAAGCCCCTCCCTGTTGTCCAGACCCTAGAAGCCTCCTGACTCACTCTGATCTGGAAAGCAGAGGGTGGGAACAGATACTCTGCAAACTACCAGGTCACAGATTTAGATTTTTCTGCTAAAGATAATACAGTGGTGCAACTGGTTCCCATGTGCTAATTAGTATTATTAAAGGTAGTAAGTGTTGGATGTAATTATTAAATATAATCATTATTAATAATACTCATTAAGAATTGTTATCATTAAAGATCACGGTAATTATTACTAAGCCTGAACGACAGACTAGCAAGCCACACAATACCAGACCTGGGACAACTATTAACTTAGTGTTCACGCCAAGGAACAACAAAGCAGCATTATCGTCCATTGCTCATATACTATCTATGGTATAGACTCACGGAACATAGGAAATAGGGATGGAGCAGACTGATTGTTTTACATAAAGAGGAGAATTGAGCCTAGCCACGTGGTGCCTTACAAAATATTTTTTTAAATTGTGACCAGCACTGGCATATCAAATGCTTATTTACTTATATGTCTGCTTTATTCCCCATTGCATGTAAGACACGTAGTGAATAATATAAAATAGATTTCCTCCAAATTGTCTCTGTGGTCATTCACTTATCCAACTCTTACTCCCTGAACACCTACTGTGTGCCAGGTATCCCTTGTGGCTCCAGTGATACAAATGAAAACAAGCCTTACCTTGCTCCTGCCCTCAGTGCAGTTGAAAAGTGTTGTAAAATCTTCCTAAGCAAGCATAATGGCATTTTATAGGACCCATTCGTAAGAGTCCTTACCAGCAGGGAATAGCCCCCATTTAGACCTTTTAACTCTTACATACTGGTATATGATCTTTGTCCAAGGAAGTAGGTTGATTTCTCTTTTTAATGATTTAAACGTAAGCACACATAAGGCCGTGCAGTCAGTGGTGCCATAAGCTACTTCACCACTAATACCTGTGTGTACATAAGTTTCAATGCTGAAAATCCATGTGCAGTTCCTAATGTCAACATCTAAGTGTCACTCATCTGGGAATCACAGATAAGACCTTTAAATGAATCCAGTTGCTCCACAAGCTATCATGTATTCATTACTTAGGAACCATAAATCTTCCTCAAGTCTATGGTCAAGTGAAAAAATTTAAGACCCCATTAATTTTTTTTAGTAATATTAACAGTTCATGAGTTAGAGATGAAATACAATACTAAAGCACAAGGATCTATATACCATGTAGAGATTTATGTTTTGAAAATGGCAATGACCAAAATATTTCCTAAATATTTTAGTTCAGTGAGTAAAGGAAGCAATTGTTAGTACGTGACAGCAGTAACTCCTCACAGCCAAAACGCAAGCGCCAGTCCCTCACAGGCAATCGCCTACTTTCAAAAAAAGAAGGAAAAAAAAGGACTTTGAAGTCATTTATAAAACAAAACAGTATTAATCAGAAGTGTATGATAACAGAATCTGTTCTGAAAGCACATATACATGTGATACCAAAAACGATCATAAACAGGTTATATTTAATGACTAAACAATGTACCTTTTTAGTAGAATTGGAGCAACCTAAACAACGAAATCTTTACAATGAAACGCAATTTTTACAAAAGAAGAAGAAGGCAGGAACAATAGATGCAGTTACTAGTGACAATGACAAGAGAAATGAAAACGGGTAAAACAGTACAATTGAAGTCAAATGTAAGGAAGAAGAAAATTAAGGCATAGGTTTTAAATGCCTTTAAAAACAGCAAATCCCTAGGAAAGAAAACTGTAAGAGGATGAGTAGAAATATATATCAAAAAAATATATTTATCCATTTTGTCCCCCCATTCGCTCCAGGAAAAAAAAGGGGAAAAAAAGAAAAAGAAAAAAGTGACAATAGATGAAAGGATAAGGAGAGTATGTGGAAAGCATTTCAAAAACTAAAGAATGGGAAGAATTAATAGATAAGTTCCAACAAAAGAATAACAGCAATAAAACTAAACTGCATCTATAAAAATTCAGAAATGATCAAGAAGAAAAAGAAAGACACTCTTGTTCTAGCCCTATACCTACAGCTTATGGCATTATTTTTCTTTTATTGTAGCACAGACCCATCTTCAGATGATCAAGGAGAGGACTTTGAACCTTTTGATTATAAGCCTCGCTAAGCCTTTTACAATTGCAGGAGGTAAGCAAATGGTTTAATCTAGAGGACAGGCACACAGCCCTAGCCATTTGCTAAAAAGTAAGAGCTGTCCTGACAATTGGGATAAATGGTTAATTCTGTTATCACACAGGAAAAATAAGCAACGGGACTTTCTCTACTGGAAAAATGCATTTTCCCAACTGTCATTAGTTATGATGCTCAATTGTCACTTTCATTATGACATGATCTCTGAAGAAGCGCGCATAATGATGAAGTGTTAATCTGGTCTTCACCAGCACAGCCCTGGGAACAGAGGGAACAGAGGCGTGCGGGGAGAGGACGGCTCTGCACCCGGGGGCAGGCACTCTTAGGTGGAGTCCTGGCACTACCATACTAACCTGTAGGAGTGATCCTGGGAAATTTACCTGATCTCTCTGAGGCTCAAACTCCTCCCAGCTGAAATGCGAACAATAGCATCTACATCCTAGACTGGTTGTGACAATTAAACAGTGGAAGGTAGTTAAACTGTCTGACATGTAGCCCTCAAATAATGAAACCTATCTGGTTTTCTTTTTTATAAATTTATTTATTTATTTATTTATTTATTTTTGGCCGTTGTGGGTCTTCGTTGCTGTGCGCGGGATTTCTCTAGTTGCAACAAGTGGGGGCTACTATTGGTTGCGGTGCACAGGCTTCTCATTGCGGTGGCTTCTCTTGTTGCGGAGCACGGGCTCTAGGCACGCAGGCTTCAGTAGTTGTGGCACGCGGGCTCAGTAGTTGTGGCTCGCGGGCTCTAGAGCGCAGGCTCAGTAGTTGTGGCGCACGGGCTTAGTTGCTCCGTGGCATGTGGGATCTTCCCGGACCAGGGCTCGAACCCGTGTCCCCTGCATTGGCAGGCGGATTCTTAACCACTGCGCCACAGGGAAGTTCCCTATTTGGTTTTCTTTCTACAAAAACAGTATTAATACCACTTTACAGAGGAAAAAAAGAGACCAATCATTTTTTTCAGGGTCCATAATCAATGCTCATGATACTTCCTAAAAAGCATTTCTTCAGAATAAAAATTATACTAATAATCACTGAATGGCCTAATTACTGAAGATGCAAATAATTAAGGCCAAAAATGTTCAACAGGCCCCAGAGCAAAAGGGTGAAAGTGTTAAAAGCACCATACTTTACATTCTAAAATATATTCTAAAATTGCCTGTCCAATACAGGAGCCACAAGTGGTGACGGAGCACTTGAATGTTGACTAGTCCTGCGTTGAGATGTGGCGTGTGACATACACACTCAATTTCAACAACTTAATACCAAAAAATAAAAAATAATTATATTTAACACAAAAAAATTTTTATGAACTGCATGTAGAGATAATATTTTAGATACATTGAGTTAAACAAAATGTATTATTAAAATTAATTTCACCTGTTTCTTTACCATTTCTTTAAAAGAAGCTACAAGAAAATTTAAAATTATACACGCAGCTCTTATTACATTTCGATCAGACAAAGCTGCTCTAAGCAATCTGCCAAATACCAACATATACAGTGGTTTTTCTGACCCAGCATAAATACACCACAAACTGATAAGCAGGACAATTGTGCGATTGTCTTGATGCCCCTCACTTTATCTTTCCTCTGTGCTCCAGATCTTAGGAGACTTGAGTACAGATGTATTCTTGGTTAAACTCCAATATCTA